GTTGTTATGTCCTTTTCATCAAATAAGGCACCAGGATTTGACAAAGTATCAATGGCTGTGATCAAGGATGCCTTACCGTACATCCTTCCTACACTTACGCAAATTGTTAATTGTTCCCTGGAAACAGGTGTTTTCCCAACAGCCTGGAAGAAAGCAGAGGTTATCCCACTTCTGAAGGAAGGGGATTATGAAATTCCGAATAATAATCGGCCCGTGTCGTTGTTAGTGGCTGCATCTAAGATCTGTGAACGCGTGGTATTGAAACAGCTAACAGAGTATATGACAAAGAAGAAAAAATTTACTAAACATCAAAGTGGAAATAGGAAGTTACATTCAACCGAAACATTAAACATATTCATCTCAGATTTAATTCTCCAGTCCATGGATCGTAGAGAAGTGACTGCTTTACTCTTACTGGACTTGTCTAAAGCTTTTGATAGCTTAGATCATTTCATTCTGCTAAGAAAACTTTCGAATATTGGAATCTCGAAGCCTGCGTTGTTTTGGTTTAAAAGCTATTTGACAGGCAGGTGCCAATCAGTACGTATTGCGTCAGTGTTATCTGATGAATGTGAAATAACTCGCGGTGTTCCGCAGGGATCGATACTGGGTCCGGTGTTATTTAATATATATATCAACGACTTGCCTGGTGTACCCAAGGAGTCCAATTTGGAGTCGTACGTGGATGACTCAAAAATATATTTAGCATTCTCAATCAGGGATGCCGAGTTGGCAGCTATGAAACTCACTGAAGACATGCGAAGAATTACCGCCTGGTGCTGTCTTAACAGTTTATTGGTGAATCCAGAAAAAACTAAGTTGCTTATATTAGATACTAGGCAAATGTTAGAACAGGAACCTGAAAATTTTCAAATAACTATCCTTGGTGAGAATATTACTCCAGTTGCTGTTGCAAAGGATTCAGGGATGATATTGGACTCATGTTTGAGCTACGACGAACATATCGCAAGCGTTGTTTCATCTTGTATCGCTGGACTGGGCCAAATTAGCAGTGTTAAACATATCTTTGACAGAAAAACATTAATTCTTATTATAAATTCCCTGATTTTTAGCAAAATGTATTACTGCTCTGCTGTTTGGTCTAATACATCCCAAAGAAATATCGAGAAACTTCAAGCGGTCCAGAACTTTGCTGCACGTATTGTTACAGGAACAAGAAAATACGATCACGTGACTCCTGTTCTGCAACAACTGGGCTGGCTTCCAGTTAAATACATGTTAAAATTAAGAGAAGCCATTTTTGCTTTCAAATGCTTGAAGGGGTTGGCATCATTGTATTTGCGTGAGAAGTTCCATGTCAGGTCAGATGTTCATGGCGTTAACACAAGGCAAAAGAACATTTTGGATATACCAATGTACAGATCAGCTGCGAGTCAACGAACATTTCACTATAGGGTTGTGTCCTTGTGGAATTCTCTGCCTCAGTCTCTTGAAAACATTGATACTTTGACTCATTTTAAAGTAGAATACAAACGTATGTTATTAGAAGAATTTTTAACTGTAAGTGGTGTTTAACAGATTTATAGAATATTTTAGAACTATAGCCTATTTTATACCTTAGGTCAAAACTCAAAATTCATTTTTAGATACTTTTATAGATATAGAATTTTATATTTGTAATTAGATCCTGAAAAGCCCAATTGGGAGTATCTAATATTGTATAATAATAATAATTTTAATAATGCTTCACGAGAATATTATGGTAGACCTTTTTGTCCACTATACCATCTATTTTAACCAAACCGCCTAATCCTGTTCGAGATATAGAACCCCAAACCATAATATTCCCACCTCCATGCTTGACTGTGGAGGAAATGCAGTCGTTTATGAGCCGTTCACCTTTGCGTCTCCGCATCTAAACCCTTCGATTAGTTCTTTACACAAAGCCATATGCGTCTTCACAAAATCAGGGCTAGTCTAAAGTCAAGTGTGGTGCATGTGCTCAAACATTTATACCTGAAATATTTAACACGGATGACTGAATACCATAGGGGGTGTAAATTTGCATGATATACATATTTTAATATGTCTCAGGCTCGGGGACTGTTAGACTAACTCCCAGAAATATTGGTGCACTGAAAAATGAAAAAAATTAAGGTGTTCAAATAATTATGATCAGTACTGTATTTCTGCACGTCTGTATATTTTAAGACTTTTGTAAGTAAACTTCTGATGATGCAAGATTTCCTAAAAATATTTTCCCAAGTTTATAGACAAGTTCCTGGAAGGTATGCTTTGAATTTGCCGTTAACCCAGGATTCTGTTCTGAGAAATACAACGCTGGTGCAGCGTGCTCTTCTGATAGGTCCTTTATGCCTTACCTACCTGTGATGTTGGTGTACCTGCTTATTAGAAGGAAGCCAAACTTGTTTCATTTTAATTATATAGAAATGTTACTTTATATCGTGATTGGTGCTGTTGGCGGGTTTTTACTTCTCGTCTTTGTTACTGTTTGCTGTGTATGTAACAAAAATGGAAGACTCCGTCGCCATAAAGTAAGGTGTAAATTTGCATTGAAATTTAACAGAAATATTTTACACAATAAATCTAAGATAAGTTCTTTGAATGTTTGCATGGCGATAAAATATAATTGTTTTTGTTTGTGGAAACACCACGCAAATTTATCACTGCAAAGCTTTCGATCCGTAAGCCCGGATCTTCATCAGTGCTAATAATATCATATCTGCACGCCATTTTGGGCTGCCTATGATATTATTAGCACTGATGAAGATCCGGGCTTACGGATCGAAAGCTTTGCAGTGATAAATTTGCGTGGTGTTTCCACAAACAAAAACAATTAAATCTAAGATAGTTCAAGGAATATAATTACAAATCATTGTTTCTTTAATATTACCATTTAAGTTTTACAGGGTATTTAACAATAATTTAATTAAAATATAAATGATTTAGTTGTCCATATAAAAAGAAATATAAAATTTAATGAAACTGTTAATGGTAAGTATTGCCAAGTCCGTATTTCCAAATAAAGCTAGACATGTTCTTCAGATTTCACTACGAACACAACGTAAACGTCAACAACGGGGAAAACAAAGAGAACAAGGTGCCTTCACAGTGAATTCGGGAAGGATGTCTGCTAAGCAGGATCATTCTGAACACCATGCATCACGCTTGAATGGAAAGGTAAAAGTGGCTTTCACAAACTTTATGCTGATCATTTAAAAAACCCGAATTATTCCCGGTTATAAGTTATATAATGTTGTACTTGTGTCAGGAATATTAAACGCAGAGAATTAACGGTTTAAGAATATAGTAAGGGTAATTATATATAATAATACATGATTTGTATATATAGAGGATATTATAGACGGTTGCGAAGAGATACTGATGGATTTTATGTTCGAGTGGCAAAAACAATATCAATTAAAATATAAATGATTTAGTTGTCCATATAAAAAGAAATATAAAATTTAATGAAACTGTTAATGGTAAGTATTGCCAAGTCCGTATTTCCAAATAAAGCTAGACATGTTCTTCAGATTTCACTACGAACACAACGTAAACGTCAACAACGGGGAAAACAAAGAGAACAAGGTGCCTTCACAGTGAATTCGGGAAGGATGTCTGCTAAGCAGGATCATTCTGAACACCATGCATCACGCTTGAATGGAAAGGTAAAAGTGGCTTTCACAAACTTTATGCTGATCATTTAAAAAACCCGAATTATTCCCGGTTATAAGTTATATAATGTTGTACTTGTGTCAGGAATATTAAACGCAGAGAATTAACGGTTTAAGAATATAGTAAGGGTAATTATATATAATAATACATGATTTGTATATATAGAGGATATTATAGACGGTTGCGAAGAGATACTGATGGATTTTATGTTCGAGTGGCAAAAACAATATCAATTAAAATATAAATGATTTAGTTGTCCATATAAAAAGAAATATAAAATTTAATGAAACTGTTAATGGTAAGTATTGCCAAGTCCGTATTTCCAAATAAAGCTAGACATGTTCTTCAGATTTCACTACGAACACAACGTAAACGTCAACAACGGGAACGACAAAGAGAACAAGGTGCCTTCACAGTGAATTCGGGAAGGATGTCTGCTAAGCAGGATCATTCTGAACACCATGCATCACGCTTGAATGGAAAGGTATAAGTGGCTTTCACAAACTTTATGCTAATCATTTAAAAAACCCGAATTATTCCCGGTTATAAGTTATATAATGCGGTACTTGTGTCAGGAATATTAAACGCAGAGAATTAACGGTTTAAGAATATAGTAAGGGTAATTATATATAATAATACATTATTTGTATATATAGAGGATATTATAGACGGTTGCGAAGAGATACTGATGGATTTTATGTTCGAGTGGCAAATACAATATCTCACGAGTGAGCGCAGCGAACGAGTGAGATATTGTTTTTTGACACGAGAGCATAAATCCATATCTTCTCGCAACATTTAATGTTCTGTTTATTCCCAAGCCAACGGCGCGGAACGCGTTCCGGGCGTAAGCCCGGCGCAAGGGTACTAATTCCGTCCGGCTATTTACACCCTGGGAAAGGAACGCACTAGCGAAGTCTAAAGTTCATCAAATATCGCGGGCGTATGGTGTATCGGTGGTCATCTCACTGATCTCAAAATATTGCTGTTTGCCAGGAGTGAAGAAGGGAAAAATGTAAAATATACATGTAAGAAAGCTTGGAAAATCATTTCACATAACAAATTGTAAAACATTTTTTCAATTTTTAAACGTAAACTCTGATAAGAATTGATTTAGTATGAGAAATCCTAAAGTATAGGGCAAGTTTGTTTCAATTGTTTATGTATGACTTTGTATTATTATAGACTTTGTTCTTGTTGTTTAAATCTTTCCTATGCATTGCATGCGAAAGTTTCTTAGTTAAATTAACGTTGTACAAGTTTATGATAAAATGGAAAGCAAATTATTTTCATTATCGTCCTGTACGAATTAAATTTATTTCATTTTAAAGTGCGAGTAATAAGTTGAAGCTCAAGTTCGGCTAAATATCGGCAAAAAGCAGTTGATTTCAATTCACATTTAAAAACGTTTTACGTAGAGTTTCGTTTTGAATTTTACATTACTATAAAGCCCTTGGAAAACAACATAATATACCTACTTTATATATTTTACAAATTGATAGTTCTGTATTTAAACGTGTTCAAGTTTCATCTATTGTTTGCAGGTTTGTACAAAAATTTAAAAAAAAACAATTATCGTGTTACCATGACTAATATGGCGTGCAACGCGAGGCTGCGTTCAGTGTTGACGTAATTACGAATACTTCATGTCGAAACAATGTTTGGAGAATATAGGCGAGGGGTTGTTGCATGCATGTATTTCTATAGTTATATGGACTTATTCAGAGTGACAAAAATACACACAAAGACGACATGTAAATAAGCACGCGAAAGACCAGACTGTAAAAGCGATATTTTTTTAAATTATAGTGCAAACATAAAACTAGAATAAATTTTACTTATCTCAAGATGTCTTTTAAATGTTTTCGTTTTATTTCCAACGTTAATTTCGTTTTAAATACGAACCAAAGACCATTTGTATTTTCAAAACAACAACAATTAAAATGACGGGAAATACGGGACTATTAGTAGGGGTGAAATACGGAAAATACGCAGACCTAGTCCCGGATGTAGTGACGTATGTGTTCTATCAGTGTTTAGTTTCCAATAAAATACCATTGTCCATATAATAAAATTATATATTATATACTGTAACGGCATAATATTAGTCCACAATAATTAAGAATTATTCATCGAAGTGGAGTGAATAGTGCAAGGATATTCACCGAAACGCAAAAAATTGTTTTAGCCTATACCATGCACAGCAAAACAAAAATGACCAAAACAATAACGAAAATATTTTTTAAACAATTTATATTTTAGCTCGCGTAATAGTTGTTAACAAAGAGTATTTACACCCTTTCGGTAATTTCATAAAATTTTCAGGAATACTTCTACACACCTGTTAAACAAAACTTTGCGGCTTTTTTGTGTGTAGCGAATTCATAGCTTCGTTTAATACAAATATTTGTTTCTCCGTAACCGGAACGAACGGGAAGCCATTTTGGTTTTATCCGGAGCTGAATAGCGAAAGGATATCCGGAGTTGAGCAACCAATCAAATTGCGTGAAAACACTATCCACATATCCAC